CTGCACACTTTCCATCGACAGCCTGAGACTCTGGTACCGAAGGCCAGCATTCCCTGACCATCACAGTGGTGGTCTGAGCTGTGCACCGCACCAAGTGCCTGGGGATCCACTGCTCTCTACCATCTGGGGATGAGTCTGACTAGGAAAAGTGAGCTGCCTGGGAAGCATGTGGCGCAGCGCTTTCCATCTGACATCCAAAATGACAAGATGTAGGAGCCAAATGCAATCTCAGAACTCAACCCCACCCAGAACAAGTCCAGGAGGCACTGACATGGGAGAACCTGGAAGTCACACACCTGAAATCTCTGAAACGATCACAACTGAAGTAAAGAAACAACTCCATCAGGCCATAGAGGAAATCAGATCAGAAATAATCTCCCAGGTAAAAAAAGAAATGACAACAATAATGAAAGAACTGTTCAGCACATCTAAAGAAGACATATATAAAAAAATAGACAAGCACAGGAAAACAATTGAAACACTAAATGGACAATACAGGACAGAACTAAAATGCATGAAACAGATTCAAAGAGATATCCAGGAAATCAAAACTTCCATCAAAAGCTGGCAAAACTATTTGAATTAAGCTGAAGATAGACTTTCAGATCTTGAAGACAGCATTGTAGCCAGCGATCGTGAAAGGAAAGATCTCTTAAAAATAACAAAGAACCATGAAATATCAATTTAACAATTGCAAGATGATGTAAAAAGAAACAACTTAAGATTAATAGGTGTCCACAAAACAGCAGGAGTCAACACAAATGACATAAAAAGAATATTTGCAGAAGTAAGAGCAGAAAATTTCCCAAGCATGGAAAAAGAATCTGACATGCAGGTGAAGTATATAGAACCCCAACTAGCCATAACCAAAATAAAACTACACCCAGACATATAATAATCAAGATCCTAGATATCCAGCAAAAGAACAGAATATTAAAAACCATTAGAGAAAAGAAACAGATTACTTATAAAGGAAAACCCATAAGAATCATGGCAGATTTCTCAACACAAACCATCAACTTAAGAAGAGCTTGGAGTGAAGTATTCCAGATCCTGAAGCAAAATAATCTCCAACCTAAACTGATGTATCCTGCAAAACTTTCCTTCAAATTTAATGGAAACATAAAATATTTCCATGACAAAGAATGACAGAAGAACTTCACAAGCACCAAACCAACCTTATACAAAGTACTTAAAGATATTCTAGAAAGAGATAGAAATGACCACAATTTCAAGAACAACAATAGAAAGGAACCACCTCAAAGAGCAAGCAATTAAACAGAGAGTAAAAGTAGTAAACCAACAATAGGTAAATAATGTAGGGGACGGCAACTCTTAACATATCATTTTTAAGACAGAATTGTTTTAGCCTTAGTACAAGCCTCAAAATGTGTCTTGAGAAACATCTCGGAGAGGTTGTAAAAAGTTAACTTTGCAGTCCTGACTTTGGCCCAAAGTCAAAGAACACCTGGGCCCAGATAACCACCTATGACCCTGCCTAGGTTATTTCATCCCTTCCCTGGCCCTAGATAAACATTGTAACCATAAAGGAAATGTATGGTTAACAGAGTACAGAAAATATATATCATTGTGGTTGGGCTCATGACCAGGTCCTGACCCAGTCACGTGGCACAAGGAAAGCAATGTGTGGCCAGGGCTACAATGTTCCAATCTGTTACCATGGAAACCAAAAAGTATATAAGATGGAAACAAAGGCAGGCAGGGGCCCCATGTTCCTACCTGCTAGTCAGGGACGTGTGGTTGTGACCGGTCTAAAATTAATACACTCTGTTTGTCTTAAGGAGTCCTTTGGTCTTCTGTGGAATATAGCCTGACTTTTGCTGCTACAATAACATGACAAAGATAAGCCAACACATTTCAGTTATAACCATTAATGTAAATGGCCTCAATTCACCAATCAAAAGAAACAGACTGGTAGAGTGGATCAAGAAACAAAATCCAACAATACACTGTATACAAGAAACACATTTAACTCAGAAGGAAATTCATAGACTGAAAGTCAAATGATGGAAAACAATTCTACAGGGGCTGGGGATTTAGCTCAGTGGCAAAAGCGCCTGCCTGGCAAGTGCAAGGTCGTGAGTTCGGTTCCCGGTACCAGAGAAAAACCGGAAAACAATTCTACATACAACAGGAACCCAGAAAAAAGCAGGGTTAGCTATTCTATTTGCAGACAATGCAAACTTCAAACCAACATCAATTAAAAGAGATAAAGAAGGTCACTACATACTTGTGAGGGGAAAACTTCAAGAGAAAGAGATAACAATCATAAATATGTATACACCAAATGTGGGAGCACCCAACTATATAAGACAAATCTTAATAGATAGGAAAAACCAAATAACTAACAATACTATTGTAATGGGGGATCTTAACATCCATTGACACAAAGGGATAGGTCAATGACAAAAAATCAGCAAAGAAATAGCAAAATTGAACAAAACTTGTGAACAAATGGACTTAGTAGATGTTTACAGAGTGTTCCACCCCACAACATCAGAATATACATTCTTCTCAGCTGCACATGGGACTTTCTCCAAAATAGACCAGAACTAACCCATAGAACATGCTTAACTAAATGCAAAGGAATTAAAATTATCCCATATATATCATCTGACCATAGTGCAAAAAAATTGGAAATTAATGACAAAAGGTACTACAAGAACTCCATAAACACATGTAAATTAAATAATAGCCTCCTGAACAACCAATGGGTCACAGAAGAAATTAAACAATATCTACAGACAAACAAAAATGGTAATACAACTTATTGAAATCTATGGGATGAACTGAAAGCAGTCCTCAGAAGAAAGTTTATAGCAGTGAACTCACATATCAGGAAAACAGAATGAGAACAAATAAATAGCCTAATGCTGCACCTCAAACTTTTAGAAAAAGAAGAACAAGTTAAGCCCAGAGCCCAAAGAAGAAAGGAAATTATAAAGATCAAGGCAGAAATAAATGCAATTGAGATGAAGAAAATGCTAGAAAGAATTAATGAATCAAAGAGTTGGTTCTTTGAAAGAATAAGTAAAATTGATAAATCCCTAGCCAACCTTATCAAAAAAGAAAGGAAAAACCTCAAATTCATGCAATAAGGAATGAAAAAGATGAAATCACTACAGATCCTATAGAAATTCAGAAGATCATCAATACCTACTTTGATAATCTTTACTACCATAGGATGGAAAACACAGAAGAAATGGACAGATTCCCAGATAAGTATAAATTATCACAGTTGAATCAAGAAGATTTAAAAATCTTGGATAACCCAATATCAATTATGGAAATTGAAAATGTAATTAAAAACCTACTGACCAAGAAAAGCCTGGATCCTGGTGGATTCACAGCTGAATTCTACAAGACATTCAGAGAAGATTTAATGCCAACACTCCTCAAACTCTTTAATGGAATTGAATAGGAAGCAATTCTCCCTAACTCATTTCTGAAGGCAAGTGTTATATTGATACCAAAACCAGAGAAGGACCCAACCAAAAAAAGAGAACTATAGACCAATCTCCCTAATGAACATAGATGCAAAGATACTCAATAAAATACTAGCAAACAGAATTCAGCAAAACATCAAGAAGATAACACACCATGACCAAGTCAGATTTATCCCAGGGATGTAGGAATGGTTCAATATATGCAACTCAGTCAATGTAATACACCATATCAACAGAGCCAAATATTTAAAAAATCACATAATCATCTTAATAGATGCAGAAAAAGCTTTTGACAAAGTTCAACACACATTCATGATAAAAACCCTACAGAAAATAGGAATAAATGGTCTTTACCTCAATCTGATCACAGTCATCTATGACAAACAAAAAGCCAACATCACACTAAATGGACAAAAACTAAAAGCTTTCACTTTAAAATCAGGAACAAGACAAGGATGTCCACTGTCACCACTCCTATTCAATTTCGCAATTTGTTATAGCTAAATCATGGAAGCAACCCAAATACCCATCCACTGAGGAATGGATAAAAAAGTTGTGGTATTTTTTACATAATGGAATATTACTCAGCTATAAAGAAAATCTCGAGGTTTTATAGGAAAATGGACACAACTAGAGACCATACTCATAAGTGAAATAAATCAGACCTGCATGTGTAAACACTATATTGTCTCACTAGTGTATGAATCTGAAAGTGTGAATAAAATCTAGGAGGTACAATAGACATTGTGAAAGGAAAGGAAACTGTTCAAAAAGAAACAGCTGGGATGAGGGAAAAGAAAAGAAAGAAGGGGAAAAATACGTATATACACAGGATAGGTAACATAGTTGTACTACTGACTTTTATGGCTCTATTGAAAGAAACAGTTAATGTTTAACCGTTTGATCAATCTTATATGTCTGTATTTGTTTATCTGAGTAACCAATTTGAAGATATCAATATGTAATACAACAACCATTATTAATTTCCTACCACCTTGTCTGAAATTCTGTATTGCTTGTACTGCTTTTGTGTTATTTTCTAAATGTGTGTTTGTTAATATGTTTTCATTCTCTTATCTTTAAAATAAAAAAAAATTAAGAAAAGAAGTGAATGCAGGGCTGGGGATATAGTTCAGTGGCACAAGTGCCTGCCTGCGATGTGCAAGGTCTTGAGTTCAGTCCCTGGTACCAAAAAAAAAAAAAAGAGAGAGAGAGAGAAAAATGTGAATGCATAGCAGCACAAATAAGATCCAATTTTTTGCATAGCACCATACTTTCTAGATATATTTTCATTTTTGGGCTTAAGTCACTCATCCCAACATTCATACATTTGTTTTATGTGTCACTAAGCTCAACAAAAAAGGCAGTGCTGCTCTTGATGACCTTATACTCAATTGTAGCAATTATAGTTATTATGACTTTAATGCTTTTGAGCCATTGTTCCATTTCTATGATTTAGGGCTATGACACAACACCATAGCAACCCCCAAAATACAAATGTACTGAATGAAAATAATAACACACAAGGGAAGATTATGTGAAAATAACATCTATTGCCTGAGTGTGAAACAAGAGCCCATTGCTGTCCTCCCAGTCCATGAGCAAGCTTTAAGAACACAATCACCAAGGAGGCAGCAACGCTCTAGCAATTGCCAGTTTCCAATGTTTGAGACGTCTGAAGATAAAAATTGTTTCTTGCATTTTTGTTCAAAAAGTTATGACTTGGAAGATTATCGGTGATCACCTGAAGTTTGTGGCACACATTTTGACCAACATCATTCTAGGACCAGGTTCTCAACAAGTCTGATCATGTGAGCACCCTTCAACACATCCTGGGGTTGGTAAGAAACACCTGTGCCTTGGTTCACTCAGGTGACCTTTCCAGGCAGAAGAGCAGCCACTCAGGGTGGTCCCTCCTCTGTCCCTGCCCCCTCCCCTCAGTTCCCCACACAGCCCCACCACTTTCCAACAGCTCTAAGAATAAGACGGAACTAAGAGCTCAGGTTACCCCCACAGAGAGATGTTCATAATCCCCACTCTGGTTAACAGTCTTCTTCTGGCTCCAGGGCTCAGGCTGATCAGGGTCCCCCATGATGAGGAGTCCCAATGGCCCTCATTGTCCATGACTCAGATCCACAGAAGACCTTAACCTTAGACATTTGACGTAGTTTCTTTAAAGTTACATACACCTTTCGTACATGTTTTAATTTATTAATACAAATATTTGAGATACACTTTTTTATAATCATATCCAGGGAATTCTCATACACTCCATTTAGAGCTTCAAAAACAGCAGTGGCCTGGGCCTCTTTTGACCTGCACCTAGTTGAGCTGTGGTAGTGCTGGATCCCCTCCTGTGAGACTGCACCTTCTTCCCAGCAGAAATGCTGACCAGTGCTGGAAGCTCTCTTCACACAGTGCAATGTGCAGATGTTTTATTCTAACTTAGACTGAGACTCCCAAGAAGAAGCTAAAAACTTCTGCTGGCTGTGTTTTACTAGAAACGAGAATGCCACGGAAGTATAGTGCATCTCATGCCATGTGCTCTGAAGCCCACCTTTAGGAGACAAAACTGTACTTCTCGCATCAACCTGGAGAATTCAGACATTGTCCTGGGAGCAATGGGAATCCACTGAAAGTAGATAAGGCAGAGTGGCTTCTTTAGTTCTATATTTTAGAAAGATCATTGGTGGCTAGTGGAGGGACACTGGGACTTGCAACTTTAGCCCATATCTTTTTAGGTTTTAATTCCAACTCAGGTCTTCTGTGTCATGGCAAAGAACCAGTTCTCAGGGTTCTTGGTTGGAGGTTTCATGAGTCAAATGGCCTTTCCTGAACAAGACACTCCAGTAGCCACGATGCATGCACCCAAAAGTGAAAGCAGCCGGGTCCTAGCTGTCCTCATGTGGAAGGTATCTTTCCCCCTTGGGCCCACCTCAGGTAAGAGTAACAGAGCTAGGAAATCTCTGGGGGCAGAGCAGGTCCAAAGTGTACAGGGGGCAGTCTCTCATTGGACAACTTGGGGGTCTGATGGCTCATTATCTGCAACAAGCTGTCCGTTTGCATTCTCCATCATTTCCTTGTACTGACGTTTGAAGAAGCCAGCCTGGGAGAAGAAAATCAGGAAGTCCAGTAGACAAGAGAAGACGTAACAAGGAAAGAGGGACAGATGATCACCTCTGAACCTCCTATGTTCAAAGCACAGCAATGGAAACTTTTATGCCTTATGTCATTTAGACTGAGACAAGATTCTGTGAGCTATGAGCAGAATCACCTTCACATGAAAACATCAAGACCCAGAGTAGACCAGGCATTTACCTCGTCAAAGAAATCAAGAACTGTGGGAGTGTCAACATTCAAACTCGGGTCTGTGTTTTTTGTTGTAGTCTCTTGTCAAGTAGAAAAGTGGAGAAGATAGAAAAGAAAGGCAGAGATAGATGAGAGAAGGTCTGAGAAGCAGACAGGAAGGTACACACATGGGGACCAACAGGGGCTAGTGACATCACAGGCAGAGGGATTTTCTCGCATGTGGAAAACTAGAGAGAATGTACATCTCTTTCCACAATAAGCTCTTTCTTATCCTGTAGAAAGAGGGGCATCAAAACCTGGTGATAGAGAAGACATAAAGCACTCACCTTGTACAGTGAGGCTGTGATGAGGGCCAGCAGCAGCAGGCCTCCCACAGAGCTGCCCACCAGGAGGGGGATGGGGTTGTGGACCTCATACTTCTCCAGCACTGTCTTCATCTGGAGTGGAGGTGACCCCACCAGTAAGTATCAGGCCTCCTGCTGTCCCAGGCTCCTCCAGGTTCCCCAGCTTTCAGCTCCCACTCCTCCCTCCCCAGGTCTTCCTCCAAGTAGTGGTAGGCAGAAGTCCTGCCCAGAGGCAACTGTCCTGCCTCATCCCTCCTCCCTCTGGGCTTGCGCATGCTTAGCCAACACACGGACGCAGCATCCGGGCCCTCTGACCAGCCCGGCCACTGCCTACCACACAGTCGCTACCTGGGCTCTCAGAAATGCCTCCTGCCCTGGAAGCTGGGAATACACGGATCTGTCGAATGTGATTTCAGCCACGCTGACGACCAGCACCTTCTTCTGCAGTGTCTGCGAAGGAGGAGGGGCCATGTGGGGCATAGGTTCCAAGGGAAGCTCAGGGTTCAGGAAATGTCCCGGCCTGAGGAAGGCATGAACCCGTGGAGCACAAGAAGGAGCTGGGGGAGGGGCCCCGCCGTTGGGCCACACACCTGGCTGACCCAGCTGAAGCTGAGGTTGCCCTTCAGGATGAAGTCAAGCTCCTCCTGGATGCCAAAGGAGGGGACGTCACAGCGGAACCTCAGGCAGTCAGCGATGGAGCAGTCCTAGGGACAGAGAAGTAGCATTGGCCAGAGGCAATGAGTGTGACGGTAGAAGACAACATTCAGCTCTGACTCGAGGGAAGCTGTCGTAGCTGAGCAAACAAGGCTGTCCAGCAAGTCTCCTTTGAAATGCAGCCGGAGTCCTGAATTACATCCCTCCATCACAAGACTCGAGTAGCGGGCAGCCCACAGCCCTCCTCACCAGCTCGGGATTCTTCCGCATGTGAGTCTGGAAGTCAGCGTCTGTGGCAGTCAGTCGCTCCGAGGAGCACTGGACGGACGGGTTCTAGGAGAAGACATGGAGGGAGCAAGCATCTCAGTTCGAACACAGCGCACCCAGGCGCAGGGCGTGAGAGGAGGAGCCGGGCACAGTAGGGGAGCACTACTACCTGTGGGTCGGAGACCTCCACTTCCGTCCATACCGCTGCTCCATTCAGTTCCACAGGCACCCAGAAGTTGAGGGTGACAGGCAAGTCCCTCTGACCCAGGTTATTCACCTGCACAGGGAGAGGGAGTGAGAGCAGGGCCCACCCTAAACTCCCAGGCCACAGCCTGAGCACCCGAGGTCCTACCACTCGCCTGGTATCTGTGCACGATCACACTGCTTCCCTCTTCCTCTGAGGCTGAGAAGTTGAGGTACTTGACTGACTGCTCCTGGCTGGAGAGAGAAGAGGCTGGAGGGGATGTGAGGTCCCACGGGGACCCCCGAGCAGGCCCTGCACCTGGCACTAGGGGACAGGTGGTCAGTGGGGCCTTGGGGGGACACAGGGTGAGGCCTGTGGCTCGGGTGGAGGAAAGGAGGGTTGAGGGAGCCGGGTTAGGTGCCTGCAGGAGTTTCCCACAGCGGAGGCTGCTGGGGGCCCGGCCGTGCGCTGTGAAAGGCGCCGAGATTCACGCCGCTGACTGGCTGGACAGTGAGGCCACAGCCCGCGCCTCTCTGCACTTCGTTTTTCCTTTCAGCTCCCCACGGGTGTTCAGGATGCTGATGTGTGTCGGGGACACAGCAAGAGTTTGGGAAGACGGAGGGGAGCACTGCTGACTGCAGCCCCTGGAGCACAGCCACTTCCGGGCTCGCCCAAGCCCTCCCTGGGCCCTGCTCTCCTGTCCCCGTGGCTTTTCCAGCCCTGGGGCTTGGAGCTGAGGGAGACAACAGCGTCCTCACAGGGCATCAGTGTCACACCTCCTCCTGACGCCTGCGTGGGCCCAAGCCCGGCCGTGAAGTAGCCCGCTAGGACCTTCATAGGGCGGCTGCCCTCTCCTGGGTCCCTCATTGCCCCATTCCTCTGGGGCAAAGGCATCTGTCGTTTGCCTCGCAATCCAAATCCCAGCCTGTTCTACTCTGAAGTCTCATTCTTTCCTCTCTCAAAATGCTCCAAGGGCCGGGGATAGAGCTCAGCAGCACAAGTACCTGCCTGGCAAGCACAAGGTCCCGGTACCAAAAAAAAAAAGCTCCAGACCAGCACCTAGGACCTCTCTGAGCACCCATCCACACAGTCGCATCTGCAGAATGTGGCCAAGCTACAGAGCCACACGTGGCTGGAGGCGGCCCTGGCCACGCGAGATGTGAGAACCGCGGAGCACAGCCCAGCAAACACACCCTGAGTGTGCACCTGCTGGGGCCGGCAGATGTGCGAGTGCAAACGAGAGTGTGAAACACTGAGGTTGAAAAGAGCACCTAACAGGAGATGCCCCGGGAGAGCAGGGGTTTGTGTTCGGTTTTGTTGTCTTTGGGTGGGGAGGACACTGGGAATCGAACTCAGGACCTCGAGCTTTACCAGGCAGGCACTTGTACCACTGAGCTATATCCCCGGCCCCTGTTGTGTTTGGCTTTGATTACAGAGGACCTCAATGAACTTTTGCCGGATGTTAAATGAATTCACAGAAGGTCACTACGGTACTGCGCCTGGCACATAGCAAACACTAGGAAGATATTTGCTGAAGGAAGGTATCTGCTCAAGTGCTTGGCTACATTTTAGTTTTAAACTCCTTATGTGATCCTCCATGGGCTGCATTTTAAGGGCCTTTGTCCAGCTTCTCCCTGATATCCAGCCTGTGCAGCAGTAAATCCTCTGTCCCTCCTCTTGCCAAAAAGACAAAGGGGAAGAGGGTTCTAAAGCTTCACTGGGTCTGTTCCTTGCAAGAAACTGTCCTGCACAAATGTCAAGAGCAATTCTGATCAGTGTGGTGGGGCACGCATGTATGCCCAGTACTTGGGAGGCTGAGGCAGGAGGATTGCCACAAGTTCGAGGCCAGCCTGGGCTACATGGTGAGACCCTGTCTCAACCCCTACCCGACCTCCCCAAAAAGTAATTCTGAAAGAACCGCTTAGGGGAAGCCCAGTGCTGTAGATTCAATAGCTGAGATGCCCCCTGACAGGAGGTCCTCACTCCCTCTTCCCACTGCCATCTCCTGCATCCGGAGCGCCACCGAAGGCCCATGTGTTATGGGCTAGGTCCTGGGGTATTGCTGTTGCGCAGTGGTGGGGCCTAAAGAAGGTGGGGCCAGGTGGGAGGTCTTCTGGTCATTGAGGATGCGATGCTAAAAGAGACCTGGGACTGCAGTCTCTTCTTCCTCTGGTTTTTGTTCTCTGGCCTTGAGATAATCCTTTCCCTTCCACTAGGCATTCCTGCCACGATGCACTGCCTTCCCAGCGGCCCAAAGTGACGGGACCAATGGAACATGGACTGGAACTTCCAAACCATGAGCAGAAGGAAGCCTTTTCTCTGTGTAAGCTGATCATGTCAGGTTTTTGTCACAGTGATAGAAAGCTGATTAACACACCCACATCATCCCAGGGTGCAGAAACACACCCAAGGGTGCTGCCCTGGATGAGATTCTGACTTGGATCCTGGTGATTCTGCTCCCCAACAAAGCTGTAGGGACCTCAAAGGTATGTCTCACATGTCCAGGAAATCCAAGCGAATCTTGGGTTCTGAGACTTATAACCTCTATTAATTGTAGGTTATAATGATAATGATATCATACTTTCTTTTATTAGCTCACAATAAACACCCACTGATTAATCAGCGGTGCTAGAAGGATCACTTACCACTTGGAAGGATGATAAATAAAACCCAAATAAGCCGGATATTCCACCTGCTGCAGGAGGTGAGAGCCCCTCCCCCGCGCCACCCGCATTGGAGCGAGGGAGAGGTGCCAGGGTACCTGCTGATCACGGTGTAGACAGCGTACTTCACCGGGAGCTCCAGCTGGAAGCTGGTCTTGTTGGTCTTGGGGATGTTATTCTCACTGGAAGATGAGGAAAGGCCGGCTGCCAAGGGCCGCGGAGGAGGATGGCGTGTGAGGCCAAGGGCGGGAGGAGCGCCACCCAAGCCTGGTCGCTCACCTGTTCACGTGGGCTGTCACAAGCAGCCGGTTTCCCAGCACAGCCTTGGGGGGGACATCAAAGGTGACCACAAAGGCCATCTGAGGAAGAGGGAGGAATAGAGAGGTCATAGAGGAGTTCAGCAGCACGGGCCCGGGACCGGGGTGGGCAGGGGTCAGACCGACCTGTGTGCCCCCGCGGAGGATGAGGTGGTTGATGCTGCAGCGGGTGCTCCCAGGACCCCGGGTCCTAGCGGGGGCGCTGTCGCACGTCAGCCTTGGGGAGCGTGGCTGCCGCTGGTTCTGGGCAAAGGCGGGTGGACAAAAGACAGCGGGGATTTGCCAGTGCTCCAGAGAGACTCCGTGACATGGTGACACAGCTTAAGGTTATGTTTTTTGTTTTTTGGGTTTGTTGTTGTTGTTGTTGTTTTGTCTTTTTGAGACAGGGTCTCGCTATGCAGTTGAGGCTGGCCTTGAGCTCACTTTGTAGCCCAGGCTGGTCTCGACTCAAAACGATCCTCCTGCCTCAGCCTCCTGAGGGCAGGTATGTACCACCACGCCCAGCTCAATGTTATGTTTTTAAAAGATCCTTAGACAGTATTTGCTCCAATTTTCTCCAAGTGTAGAAATCTCATTTATTAGTTTCCTTCTTTTTATTTATTGTTATTTTAAAGACCTTTTATTATGGAAATTTTCAAACATACTCAAGAGTAGAGACTACAGAAGCAGTCCCCAGATATCTATCCCTCAGCTGAAGATATTAGCAGTTTCCAGCACTTGTTTTATTCAGCTATTCTACACCTTTTCTTTTCCTGAATAGTTGAAAGCATATTCCAGATATCGCATTGTTTAATGCAGGTATACTTCAATGTAGACCACCAACTAATAAAAATACTTTTTAAAAATAACCACACGACTCAAAAAAACCACACTCAACAAAATTAACAATAATTCCTTAATATACTGATCATGTTTCCCAGATTGTCTCCAAGGATATTTTTTACTGCTCACTTGCTAGAATCAGCAGCCAGTGAAGGTCACAAACAGCACTTAGATGATACGTCTAGGCTCACTTCAAGGACAGGGCTGTCATTCTCTGCACTGGAGGGTGCTTCTCCTAGTGTGTTTTTTCACATGTTAACTAAAATATCCTCCCACTGGGAATAAGACATGGCAGATATAACAAACAAATATAGGTGACCTAGATTAGATCCCAGTTCAAATAAATCAGGGGCAAAAGGACATTTTGAGACTAGCAGGGAAATTAGACTGTGATCTAGACCCCCAAAGAATCCTTCAATCCTTGGGGTAAGATCATGGTTCTGAGGTCATGTAAGATGTCTCCAATTTCAGAGCTATAGAGTGAAATAAGAACGAGTGTGAGGGGCTGGGGATTTAGCTCAGCAGCAAAAGCGCCTGCCTGGCAAGCGCAAGGTCGTGAGTTTGGTCCCCGGTACCGGAGAATAAACCAAAAAAAAAAAAAGAAAAAAAAGAACGAGTGTGCTGACTACTGTCTGGAATTTGTTTTCAACTATTTCAGCAAAGGAAAAAATAGATGAAAACATGGGGCAAAAAGTGTTGGTACTTGTTGAATCTGAGTGATAAGTTTTGGGGAGATTTGTTGAACTATGGTCTATTTTTTTTAAATGTTTAAATTTTTTCATAATAAAATTTTTGCAAAAGAAAAAAATCTGCTTCTCTTTGACTCCCTTGGCTGTAGTTCTGACTTCTAGAACAGAGATTGGCAAATGGCCCACATCCTATTGTTATAAATAAAGTTTTATTGGATCACAGATATGCTTATTCACATTAATGGGTGCTTTCATTCTACCACGGGGAAGTTATTGGAAACTGTACAGTTCATCCAGATGAAATATTTCTATCTGGTTCTTCATAGAAAAACTTTGTCAAACCCCAATTCAGGGTAGCAAATAAGCCCTTGGGAGGCTGAGGCAGAAGGATCGTTGTGAGTTCAAGGCCAGCCTGGGCTACATAAGTGAGCTCAAGGCCAGCCTGAACTATAAAGTGAGACCCTGTCTCAAAAAGACAAAAAAGAAAGAAAGAAAGAAACAAACAAACAAACAAAACCAAAGTAACCAAAAACTTTGACTGTTTCTTCTACATAACAACGTTTAAAATATTTAAAGATTGGGGCACTTTTTCCTTTGAAAAAGGGGTCTTGACGTGAGATAGCATATAAAGAAATTTCCAGTGGGATATCTTCCCCTCCACATTAATGGCTTCCAGAAATTCATTTTGGATAGCCAGTGTCTTTAAAATGTGAAGCTCAAAACTCAACACCACATGAGCAGAAAGAAGCCCCAGACAACACCACCGTGCCAGGGATATAGCTTAGCGGCACAAGCGCCTGCCTGGCAAGCACAAGGTCCTAAGCCTGATTCCCGGTACCAGAAAAAAAAGACAACACCACCGTGTCCACCAGGGACCAGGCCAGACTTCCGGCCTATTACAGCTGCTAAGCAATGGCCCCCTGGTCTGAGTTTCGCACCCAGCCCAGATCTGTCTGTGCTGATTCCTAGCGCAATAGAGGGAATACCTTGTGTTCTGCCACACGGCGATAGGACAGCCCTTCTGGGTAGAAGAAGGTCACTGTGGTGCCATAGGAGTCTTCGCCATCATTGGACACTGTCACCTCCGTGTTCAGCTCCAGGTTGCTCCCCACCACCAGGGTCTTCAAGCTGTGCATTGGGGGGCGGGGAGGGGAGTCTGTGACTGAGGCAGGAAATGGGCCGGGGTAAAGCCTGCGGCGGGAAGGTAGGAGGCGGGGGCAGCATACCCGGGTTCTGAGTCCCAGGTCCTGGAAGGGAGGCAGGACCCCGCGGCAAACCTAAGCAGGTGGACGCTTACCCCGAGAAGCCAAAGGTGATGGCAAGGTCGTCCTGGCAGATGTGGTCAGCTCCGCAGTTCTTCTCAAAGGGGAGCTGAGAGAAGGGCCATGCAGGGTTTTCCTGAGACCCAGCGCCACCCGCCGTGACCCCGCAGAGAGCCCTGAGCCCTGCACTCACAGAGGCCGTGAGGTAGGTCTGAGCATCCGCAGCCAGCATGGGCTCGAGGTTTCCGAGGGAAGGGGTGGGCTCACCCTCCAGAGAGAAGTTGAGGCGCAAAGTAATGGGGGTCACCGAGTCCTCCACACAGGCCTGGAGCACAGGCGTTGCAGGGGAGAGTATCAAGGAAAGCCCCGGCAAATGCTCGCCCGCACTCAGTAGGCATGTGTCGGGACCGTCGCAGCAACTGCCCTGTCCGCCTCTGTGCGGGCTGCCTCGTTCCCCTCAGTGTCTTCCTCTCTGTTCTCACCCCTGGCTTTACCTTTCCTGCCAGTGTCCATCACTACCTGACATCTGCTATCTAGAAACACATTTGGTTTTTTCCCTCTGCCCATCCAGGAGCTCCCCAGGGGGCAGGAGCAGTTTTGTCGCCTGCTCCGGGTCCAGAGCTCTCTGTACAGAGCCCGTCTCCGAGGAGCAGAGCCGTCCATATGTGTGTGCACAGCAAGGGCCCGAAGAATCTCAGCCTGCAGCTCCAGACTTCAAGCCGCCCTATTCCCTTTCCTGAAATCCAGCTGTGCCCCCTCTGGCCGTGGCAGCCAACCTCAGTGGGTCCGTTCGCTTTCTCAGCTACTGTGTGTTGAGCACCGCCTGCACGGCAGAGCCTGTGCTGAGCTGAGCTCCGGAGAGCACCAGCACACGCCCTGGTCCTTCCTGGCCTAGCCTGCTGCCCGCCTCCAGACGGCCTCCGCCCGCATCCAGCTGAGGCTGCCTCACCGGCAGAAGCAGCTTCACAGTCTCACAGTGCTTGCCGAGCTCAAAGACTCGCTTTTGACTCAGAGTCCGGGTGTTTGTCGTCTCGAAGATGGCACGGGGACTCAGGCGGCCGGGGTCAAGGGTAAGTTGAAAGGTCACAGAGCTCTGGAAGTTACCTAGAAAGGAAAGCAGTGCATGGGGAAGACAGAGAGAGAGAGAGAGAGAGACAGAGAGACAGAGAGAGACAGAGACAGAGACAGAGACACAGAGAGAGAGAAAGGGACAGGGGAGAGAAAGAAATGGAGAGGGACAGGGGCTGAGAGAGAGAGACAGGGAGAGAGACAGAGAGACAGAGAGACAGAGAGAGACAGAGACAGGCAGACAAAGAGAGAGACAGAGACAGAGGGAGACACTCCCCAGGGAAGGAAGGGCCAGGCAGGAGACAGGGGCCCTGTGTTGGGGCCCCGAGGGTCAGGGTGTCCGGGGTCGGTGGGGGAGGACTCACGTCCTTGACTCTTGGTACTTTCATAAATATCAAAGCAGACAGTGGCATCACCCAGCTCCTGGACAGGGGCCGCCTGCTCCTGACACTCAAATATAGAGCGGGGGATCTTTTCAAGTGTGAAGTTCATGGTCACTGCCACCCTGAGGATAGGTCTCGTCCTGTGGGGAGAACATGGAGCTGAGCCTAGGCTCTGGGCCCTGGCGGCACAACGGGGGAGGCGGAGGGGGAGGGATGGGTGCCCTACATGGGGCTCAGATCACATAGGGGGCGTCCGAAGCAGCCGCTCTCACCTGAGCAGCAGCACGTGTCCCTGGGACCCCACGGCCAGATCCACCAGTCCATCCTGGGTGAGGTCCTGGCCCCCGCTCAGGGACTGCCCGAAGTGCTGGAGCGCGGGGGTGAGCTGGGAGCCTGCGACCCTCTGTCCAGAAGAGAAAGCGAGTTATGCGGGTCCTGGGGGGAGGAACTGGGCACTGATTTGAATGTGGTTTGCTCCCCAAGAGGTGAACTGTTGGAGGCGTGGTCCTCAGTGTGCTGGATCTTCTAAGAAAGGGAGTCCACGGGGAGGCGACTGGGTGTCTGGGGCATTGACTTAAGTGGGGATTAAACGCAGCAGTCCTTCTGGGATCCTGGTTACTCCCAGAGAGTCCCACAGGAAGGAGACTGACAGATGAACAGGGTGGTGAGTACCTACAACCCCAGCTCCCAGAAGGCGGAGGCAGCGGAACTGCAGGGTCAAGGCCAACCTGGGCAATTCAGTGAGATCCTGTCTCAAAATGTTGAAAAGGATGACAGTTTTTTTAAAGAGCTGGGAATGTGGCTCATGTTCCTTGGGTTCAACCCTCAGATACCACGCAATGTCCCCCACACTGAAAAAATCAAAGCAAAGCTGGCTTTTCTTGCTGCCTGGCTTCTTGTCTTGACCTCTCCTTGCCACAAACCCTCCCACCACGATGATGTCAACCACGGGGTGACCCAGCCAGGAGCCCTTGTGGGAGCCAACGCTGTGCTGGTTCTAAACACCGTACACGCCTGAGCTCGTTTAGTCAACCCAGCAGCGGCCGGGGAAGGCTGGTTCTGTCACCGTCATCAGACTGACCGTCCTGTGCTGAGTTTCACAGAGGAACTGAGCACAGAGAGGTGAGCAGCTTGCCCAGTGACACACGGATATGGCAGAACCTCAGGGACCTTTCGTAATGCTTTTTTTGTGTCGGGGGAGTAACAACTTTCTTGAGATACCATTCACACACTATCCAGTTCACCACTGAACTACACACCCCAACAGGGGTTAGTGTGTTCACAGAATTGTGACACCATCACCTCAGTCAGTCTCAGAACATTGTCACCACTTCAAAAAGCGACCCTGTGTCTGCTGGAGGTCACCCTGTGCCTTTCACTTACTCTCATTCGCTGTGCTAGGCAAATGCTAGCCTGCTTCCTGTCTGTATAGATTTGCGTATTGCGGACATTTTGTACAAATGTGATCATACACTACACGGCCCTTTGTGACTGGCTTCTTTTAGTTGGCATAATATTTTTAAGGTTCATCTGTATTGTATCCTATATGGGCACCTCATTCTTCATCAGTTGATAGATATTTGGATTATTCCTACCTCGGCTATTATGAATAATGCTGCAAAGAACATTCATATGCAAGAGGTTCCTTGTTGGTTTTTTTGCGGGGGTTGTTTTGTTTTGTTTTGTTTTGTTTTTTCCGGTACCAGGATTTGAACTCATGACCTTGTGCTTGCCAGGCAGGCGCTGTGACGCTGAGCTAAATCCCCAGCCCCTTGTTTTGTTTTGTTTTAGACAGGATCTCCTGTGTAGTTCAGGCTGGCCTGGAACTCCCTGTGTAGCTAAGGATGACCTTGAACTTCTGGTAATCCTCCTGCCTCAACCTCCCCAGTGCTGGGAGGACAGGCACGCACCACTACACAGCCAACTCATGTACAAGTTTTTGTGTGGATACGTTTTCGATTCCCTGGTAGAACTGCTGGACCATATGGCAACTCTATATTAAGTCTTTTGAGTAACTGCCGACTGTTTTCCAAAGCAGGCACACCATTTTACATTCCCACTAGCAGTACAAGAGGGTTCCAAATTCTCTACACCCTCACCAACACTTGTCACTATCAGCCTTTCTAATTCTAACCACTCTAGCAGATACAAAACTACCTCACTGTGATTTTTATTTGCTGATGCCTGACGACTAATAATGTTGACATCTTTTCATATTTTTATTGGACCTTTGTTTATCTTCTTTGAGGAAATGTCCCTTCAGATCCTTTGCCTACATTTTAGTTGGAGATTCTTCAGTTCTTGCGGAGGAAAGTAACCCTCCCTTCTCAAGAAACTTTGTTACTTTGGGTGTAGTGTTTCTCCCTAGATGGGCACTGGTGGGCTCACGGAGGGCAGGAATAGAATAAAATCATACAGCTACACAAAGGTCTTCACATATCATCTGCAATTTTGAAGCTACTAGAAAAAATTTAGGGAAAACATTTCAAGATATTGTTACTGGGGGGCTGGGGATTTAGCTCAGCGGCAAAGCACCTGCCTGGCAAGCGCAAGGTCGTGAGTTTGGTTCCTGGTACTGGAAAAAAAAAAAAAAAAAAAAAAAAAAAAAAGATATTGTTACTGGCATCAAGTTTTCTGAACAGAGCTCAGGAAATAATAGGAAAAATTGACAAATTGAATTATACCAAATTAAAATGCTTCTGCATAGCAAAAGAAACAATCAGCAGAGTGAAGAGACAGCCTGCAGAATGGGAGGGATATTTGCTGTATATTTCTCAGATAGATTAATCTAGAAAATATAAAGAACTCAAAAAATCTAATAGCAAATGAACAATTAATCTGATCAATAATAGGCAAATAAGGTGAACAGACAATTCTCAAAAAAGTCCAAGAGGCCAATAAATGTATAAAAATAAGCTCAACACCTTTAGCCATTAGAAAAAATGAAAATCAAAACGATATTGAAGCCAAGTATGGTGGCGCAGGCCTATAATCCTAGCACTCTGGAAGGCTGAGGCAGGAGAATTTCAAGGTCCAGCCCAACCTGGGTAACTTAGCCATTTATTGAGACCCTGTCTTAAAATTTAAAATTAAAAAGGTAAGAAGGGAAGCTGAAGTTGCAGCTCAGTGTGAAGGCCGTGGTTCGATTCCCAGTTTTGTTTGTTTGTTAAACGCAAACAAACACAAACAAACAAACAAACAAACAAACAAAACACATAAGCTGAGATTCCACCTCACTCCAGTCAGAATAACTATTATCAAGAAAACAAAATAAGTGCTAGTGAGGATTCAGAGAAAAAGCAAAGCTCATACACTGTCATGGGAATATGGTACTGCTGCTGTGGAAAAGAGTACAGAAGTTCCTCAAAAAACTAAGTATAGAATTATTATACAGCATAGCTGTACCACTCCCGGGTATAGACACAACGGAGTCAAACCAAAGGAAGCATATGAAAGAGTTCCCTGCATGTCCAAGTTTATCTCAGCGCTATTCACAACAGCCAGGACAGGGATCAGCCTACATCTCCATCAACCAATGAATGGGTAAAGAAAACAAATATGTATACACAATGGCGTACTACTCAGCCGTAAAAGAACAAAACCATGTCATTTCCAGGAACATGGATCCATCTGGAGATCATCATGTTAAGGGGAATGAGCTAGACTCAGAAAGACAAGTATTATGTTTTCTCTCATATGTGAAATGTTGGAAGAAAAACTCTGACATGAAAATAGAAGAGGGCCAGGCATGGTGGCGCACACCTGTAATCCCAGCACTCGGGAAGCTGAGGCAAGAGGATCGTTGAGAGTTCGAGACCAGCCTGGGCTACAAAGTGAGCTCAAGGCCAGCCTCAACTGCATAGTGAGAACCTGTCTCAAAAAGACAAAGAAAATAGAAGAAAGCCTATCCAGAAGGAGAAGGGGATTAGCCAGGTGTAGCTAGGAGCAGGTAGCAGGGTGGGTGGATACAATTAAAGCACATTGCGTGCATTATGGAAATGTCATGATTAAATCTGTTAACTTGAACCATTAATATGCACTAACAATTATAATTTTTTAAGTAAGGGAAAATAAAATATTTTTAGAAGATCACGTAGTACCCAGAGAGATGAAGGGATGAATAAAGAGAGAGACAAGGCAAATGGACCTAAACTGATGGGCAACAGGGAGCCCCAAAGACCTGAGGGAGCCCTGTATCGCCATTCCTGCTCTGTCATGAACTGCGGACAGGTCCAACCACAGCTGTAAGGTGGGTTTGCTGATGCCAGCTCTGTGCACCTTGCAAAGGTCCTGCGAGATGAAATGGCCTGGGTGGAAACTACCCCAGTATCCTCTCCCAAAGCAAGCAGTGCATGGGCCACGCACATTCCCAGCTCTCAGCCACACGGGTGTCACTCGCTGCTTACAAGATGCCTGGTGCTGGGCAAGGAGGGAAAACAAGCGAAAGGGGAGGATTTCCCGGGTGGCAGAGTGAAGGAGAGGGAAAAGCAAAGAGAAGACGCCACAGTGCCAGAAACAGCGACTGGGCCTCACCTGGCTGTGCCACCGGCTGACGCCCCCTCTTGAGACTCCGTGAAACACGTACACAGCGCCCCGGTTCTCCTGCTCCCCAGGGGCCCCGATGGCCACGTCCGCCAGCTGGTCCCCGTTCACATCCCCCAGCGCTGTCATCGCCGCCCCAAAGCGGCCCCAGGGATGGCCCGGCTCGCCTTGCAGGACAGCGTCACACCGCCACCGAGCCCTCTGCTGAACAAAGCCAGGGTCGGGCC